CACTTCTAGTCTTACATAAAGGCTGCAAGGAGACCCTGTAATTCTGGGATTAGCTTTGCGACAAAGAGGCCCTTTGAACACTGGCATACAGGCATCTTCTGCTGTATTCTTCTCCATCTTGTCTCACAAGGAACAGAATCAAGGGTCTTCCTTCTGTCCACATGATCATTTTGCTTAGAAAAAAAGCCATTTTATGTTGGTGTGATCTTCATTCTATCCTCATGAGAGGCCCACTTAGACAACGCACCCATACGAAAGCACAATACTGAAAGCCACGCGACAGCACAGATTAGTTATCTTCACAAGAGGGTGGGGGGTTTCATGTGAGGACTTACAACTAAGACAACAGAGCTCTAGCTGAAACACTACCTTGTCAGCTGGTACTATTTCATACAGTACCTTGCGTTCCTTCAGGCTAAAACTGAAGTATCCCAAGGTCAAGTGTTGACAGGACTCTAATCGCCCAAATCATGCTAAAATCCCTCCCGCTTTAGATCCAGGTTCTGTCGGTCCGGGCAAGCCTTCGGCCGGCCGAGCAGAGCTCGGCCCCAGAGGCCGAGATATTCTCCATCATCTTGGTCCTGTCCTCCTTTACTTCCACAGACTCTTTGCTATCTACGGTACATATCTTCGCTGTCAAGCCTCGTCCCTCTTAGCGCTCAGGCCTCCCGGGGCACAGCCATTCATTGGATGAGAGCGTGGGCGGAAGAAGGAACTCTGGATTGGCAGTGGCTGGGGCGCAGATAAGACCAGCCCCCTCCATGTTGTTAACCCGTCTGACAGAGCATAATCCCTGAGGCTGAGCTTAAATCCATGCTGACCCCACCTGCTCTCTCGCTCTAGCACTCCCTTGCTTTCCAACTCTTTCCTCCGTTCAACTCACTTCTCTTCAATTTATATATTCTCTCCTCTTCTCTCCTATCTTCATTACATCTTCCTCTCCCCCTGCCTCACTCTCATTCCCAACCCCTCTCTCACTCTCCAGTAAGGGCAGATTTTTCTGTTTACCTGGAAAGAGGACAGCAAGTCAGTGAAAGGCGGTTAAAGTGAGAGCAGCTTCAAAGCCGATTGAAGAAGTCTTGTCAAACAACCTGCTGGGTTTATTTTTGTTCTCAGTGAGTCATAAAGAAAAGAAGGCTCACTTGGCAGCCAGACCACAGACACCAGGGTTTGTCTGTGCGTATTAGATGATGCAACAAAACTCAGATTATACTAAATGATCCAAACAACATTATGAAAGAAGTCGGAATAAACTAATAATACACAGTGTTTTACTATAAATAACAGTTTAACTACCCTCTATTAGAATCTGATTAATAAAGTTCTTTTCAGACTGATGATATATGATTGATATCAAAACTCAAGCTTATGAGGAAAAATATATTACTTATTACTTGCGAAACACTAAAAGCTCAATAATTATTTGATGAGCAAATCAATAGTAATTAGAGATGGAAAAATCAGTTTGACTAGCTTTCCAGCGTGTTGCATCACAACCCAACACGCCCCAGTATTCATAATTGAGTTCTATGAAAAAACCTGACAATGATGATGTCAGGGCCTTGTTTGGAGAGGATACAAGGAGGATTTGATTATTAATCAAACCCCATGTAAACAAGGGTTTCAGAGAGTGAGCACTTGTGTATAAACATAGCAAACTGGTCAGTCAGAGGCAAGGCTCTTCACTCCTGTGGTACAATCAAATGTACTTATGTTCCAGAGTTATGTTACTAAGCATCACTAAATTACTAAAATGAACTATGGAAAATAACTAGGAAAAGCTTCATGATCACTCTTCACACCTAACCTGTGAATTTTCACAGAACTCCTACAATCTTTTTCTCAATTCAGAAATAACTATGTCAATGTCAACACTCATCGCCTTGTGACTCTGGAGTCTGTGAAACATACAGATGAACCCTACATTAAACATCTCACTCATGCGTTACTGCAGACAAACATGACTGGATCCAAGCAAGACCAAGGGCTAGCTGAAGAAAAATCAGTTGCCATGGATACCCATTTTGGCCTGCAGGGAGTCCAGGGTCAGAAAATGCATGCTGTTTTACTGACTCTGGCTTCGCAGATGCAGTTATGGTTAGAAGGTGATGCTGGACAGATGGGTTTGCTGCTGCAAACTTACAAGCATACAGAACATACTCTCAGGAAATTATTTGCCAAGCAGTAAAGATTTTTTTCATGCCATTACACTCACATGGTTCAACTGGACAAAACAGTGCAGACAAAGGCATTATTCGACTACTAAATCTGTGTACAGTGCATGATGACAAGTTTCTTGATAAACACATATAAAGTACTACATATACATAATCAGAAGTCTGATACACTATATGCCTGGAAGCTGGGTAACTGTTGAGCAGAACAAGCTTTTATTTATTGTGTGTAATGATTGTATCCATTTCTATGTTATGCTTACTCCCTCTTGTGGTAGAAAGTGTGCTTACAGCCCTTTTAAAATTAGAAAAAACACAGCCGTTACCTCAAATGTATTCATGTAAACTGACTCAACTTGTTGTGATGATAAATCACAGAATAAGAGAGTAACCCAAATGTGTCCAAAGTTCAGCAAGCTCTGAAGTCATCAAATCCAGCAGCAAAGACATGCACTCACAGCTTCACATCCATCTTTCACATGTGACCTGTTCATACTCCCAGACTATGACACTGGTGGGAACTGCAACCAGCCAACAGCAGGCCCGACTCATTTAGTCTAATCTACTTGCTAAAACTAGAGGGGGGCTTTTAAGCTACTATAGCTCGTGCAAAAGAAGCTTCTTGCCCTACCCATGACAGCAATCTGTGCTTTCTATTATCTCTATTCTTGCAGTGCTGTCATTAAACAAAACGGCAGTTCACTAACTACAGCGGAGAATCCACAAGAGGGCACTGTAACATAAGAACAAGGAACAAGCAGTATGAGGGCTGATGTAAGAGCCCAGCCAAATCTACCCTTGAGCGTATTTCTCCATAGTTATAGCCTCCGTTTGATTTGTTTCTAATCTGCAGTCTGGAGAGCTCCAGCAGTATCATTAGACCACAATGAGTCAATTAAACAAAATGAGATGATTTCCAACCATACAGCCAGACCCGATGACCCCTTGTAATGACAGAGCTAAAAGGTTGAGAGTAATAGGCTTTTATAGAACATCAAGAGTGTGAGAATCAGCTGGATAATTTTCACTTCCCAACACAAAGTGACTTACTCCATATAATGTAAGACATTTAATATCACAGAATCACAAAATGAGCACAAAATGACATGATATAAACCTGATCAACCTGCAGGCTTATGGCTGTGCATGGGTGCACAGGCAGGCTGAGTGAGAACCACTCATCAAGTAGGTATGAGTCATTGTTTCTCCACCAGGACTGTCTGGGAAAGGTAAAGGCTAAACAAAAAAAACAGACATCTGTCCTGGGGCTAGAAATGTCCAATGTCACCAGTACGCTTTCGAGTGTTATCTTTAATCGAGAACAACATAAACCAAAGAAAAGAACGGGAAATGAAGCAAGATTATAAGAGGTACAGAATATGGTAGGTCTGTTCAGTGGTGCATACAGTGAGTAAGTATGACTGTAAATGTGTGTCTGGCTCTTTGGTAAAGTGTGTTTACATTTCAGGCATGTAGCTATCGTTCTTATCTGGAGCGTCGTACATTCAGTGAGCAGGTGGGAGTTTTAGTGGCTTGCACATGCTCGCCGACATACGTGGCTGCTGTTGCTGCACCCTACATTCATCCAGTCTGTGACCTTTCTGTTATGAGACAGCCGCTCTGACCATTCAAAAAACCAATTAATATTCAGTGTTTTATCACGACAAAGGCTGCAGAGGAACTGGAGTTCTGCCTCATCACGTAGAACTAGTATGACCAGAAAATGTGAGGGGATTCGTAAAAACAAGGTCACTGGAGAGCACCAAGAACTTGAATCCCAGGCAAATCTGTCATGTAAGAAATTGCAAGATGAGAGCAGGATTACTCTCTGAATTACTCATTCTATATATATCATTCTTTTCAACTTTTGCTTAACAGTGGCAACTGGCACCTAGTGGCAATCACCGTATGAGAGAATAGTAAATGTTAAAATGTAGCTATAAAGTAGCACAAGAAGAGTCATACTCAACTAAGTGACCCTATAACCAACTTGCTAACATTAGCCTCCATCAGTTACTGCTCATACCAGACCAAGTAAGACTGTAGCAACAGATCAGCTGACCCTGCTGAACTGAGCTAGAGTGTATTTTATTATGTATGAGTTCAACCTTTTATTTGTAAGAGGATGACTGAAATTTCTTATTTCAGTTAAAACATGTTCTCAGTTTAATGTGAAGCATCTGCAGGAGTTCATTTACACAGAAAGACAGGCAGAACCTATTAACATTGTGAGTTAGAAAAGTATTTCGGTTACAAAGCGAAAGCCAGTGTTGAGTACGGTATGACTATTTTATGTATAGTATGTACTGCAGGTAAAAAATGCTGTGGCAATGTACATTACGCTCTATTTACTATAACAACAGGTAAACAAGGAAGGAAGGAAGTACTGAGTTTGCATAAACAGTGAACAACTGAAAATTAACAAGGCAAATGGGCAGGGAGACAGAGAGACTTATTACTAAAATATGGTAAAATATACGTACAAAACAGGGAAATTAGAACTACAGCGCTGGTTTTCTTTGAAGTTGAAGTCAATTTGTTAATTTACATCAAATTGTTTCTGCAATACTTTTAAATATGTAGCTTCCATCTTCCTGAACCTGAATGGGTTATGATCGCGGGTCATAAAATGCAGAGTTTACGAGGTAATTTATTTATTTTACGACATCATAGTATAGTACATGCCCTGTCTAAAAAAAAAAAAGTGTGTAAGAGTGTAAGGTTTGAGTGTATTTTCATCTACAGATAATCCATGGAGCTCAGTGGAATACTGTACACGCCAAACGAAGAACTATAATATAAGTGCAAAGGAAGTCTGTATCTTACCGTGGCTGTAGCTGACCCCCGGGCTGAGGGAAGAGGGGGTGGCGATGTGCTCCCTGCTGGGGGTTTGGAGGCCTGCCTCCTTCTCCCTCTCCTTGTCCCGCTCCTTCACCTGGCGCTGGCTCATCCTGCCTGGGGTCAGAAGGATGGTGTCATCACTGCACACTACGCCAGCTACAGAGAGACAGAGGAAGAGGAAGGTGAGAGATGAAAAGGAAGGACATGATGAGAGACATGTTGCCATCTTACTTCAGATCAGAAATCATCTACAGACAGCCCTCTTGTGGAACATCTGCTGGGTGCAGCCTTCAGTTTCATAACACATTTTGATAACTTATATAATATTTGTTTTCATCCAGGTCTCATGATTGGAAAAAGAGGCTTACATGAGTGCTGATAACCTTAATATGTGCCCTTGTCCCTTATCACTCCACCTTGTTTACCTGCTGCTAATGAAGCATGTTATTCCCAGCCAATGGGAGCACACTTTGGTTGGCAGAGGACCAAAATAAATATATGAAATTAAAACATGAGTTGTTTTTTTTGAACGGGACACTGATTTTGTTATTGGGTTGTTCCTGATTTAATCCCAGTTAAATAATAATTGGAGTATGAAAACCTGAGTTGAGAGGAGATTTAGGAACTATTTTTGACACTGAACTTCTTGAGTTTATCAAGTTGATACACGTTTAGAACATAAAACATGAAATTAGATATTGTGTGGGTCTAATACAGTACCAGTCTGCTCTAGCCAAAATATCACTTCAATCTATTGGCTTTTTTTATCTTATGATTTCTTCTGATTGGGGAGCAAATTAGGTAGCCGGTATGAGTTTGGAGTCCCTCTTAAGGTGATTAGTTGGCAACAACTGCCTCCCCACATTCCTCACATTCTGAAGGTGACCCTGAACATTTCTGTCATTGTTTCTATCCTTACAGTGGCTCCACTGATCTGTTGGGCTTCAAATGCACTCGTCAGTGCTACACATTCTTTTCATTCTTATTAACTAGAGCCTCTTCCTCAAACCTGCCCATGGAAAACTACTGAAATCTTTTTCAAAAAATAAATGCACTGGTATTGAACTGCCTTCAAGACAAGATATCTAGCAGATCTAACGTTCCCATCCTTTTTTGTCTCAAGGACTCATCGACACAACCTGTTACAGTATGTTCCAAATGTTTTTAGTTAAAATCATATTGAAGTGGATGTTTTTTATTATTATTATTATTATTCATACATACACCTGATTTTAGAAGAATAATGTTTTCAAACGAGATATTATGATCCCAGACTTTATAATGTTTAGGCTTGGTCTATTTTTTTCAGTGGCTTTGGGAGTGTGGAGTGGCAGAAGCTTACTTCTGGCTAACCAATTCATGCTCACTAGCTAATTAGTTTTCACACACTCCAATGTGTTATGCTCAGTTGGTACAATTGACTCTGGTTGACAGCCTGTCCTTTCCAGTTGGTTTATCGTGGCAGTTAACTTGTTATTGTCACAATAAATATGTAAAAGGTCAGTATGACATAGCTTCAACTTTTTGTGTTCATCTTCTTTCTTTTCTAACAAAACTATACATAATAATAATAATCACCAGTGCTGTACTATAAACGGCTGTATGCCTATTATTTATGTATTCCTATAGAATATAATCATACATGTCTGGTCTTTGTCAAAATACCAGCCATCGGCAGCCCTGCTCTCAAAACATCTACCATTTAAAAACCCATATCGGTCAACCACTAATAAATAGATCTGCAATTCTTAAAAAGTCATTTAAATTGTAAGTTCTATTAAAACTTCAGTAGGGGGTGTGATCGTTGTTTTAATGTAAAAACATTAGTGAGCTTTAAAACCAGGGCTGCACAAAGTGGGGGCTGTGGGCCAAAGCTGACCCTCCATACGGTTTTTTTCGGCCTACCAGATGCTTCCAGAGAAAGAAATAATTCATTAAAACAAATTATAACATAAATAACTGTTTATGCTGTTCTTTTTTGTGAGGCAAAAATGCTCTTTAAAAGGATCCCTAATCATGACTTAATCCGAGCATGGTGTTTAGAGTGACAATTTGCACAGGAAGTCAGTCAATTAATCATTTTGCATCTTAACAATACAATACACCATCACGTTTCAGTTTTGGCCCTCCAACAAAGTCTGGGCAGCCCTGCTCTAAACCCTCCAAATTACAGGACAGGTTGTAGGTTAGTTATGCACACTGGTATGCACACATACACACACACACACACACACACACACACACACACATATGGTCAGAAAGATACTATATAATCCAGATCATAATCTAGTGATGTCATCACCTGTCTACCCTATCAGACAGCGGTGTTGAGGTATGGGTACTCCACATACACATGCTGACACGCTTTCCCATCAGACACCACACAGGTGACGGTAGCAAAGAGAACAGCAGTTGCTAAAGAGCCACAGAGACATAAAAACACACATCTAGTCACATATACTGTACGTGGTGACACGCCTCCAAAAATACACTGCTAACTGACACATAAAGGTTTCAATCTGCAGAATAACAGTCAGACACCAGATAGTAAAAACACTCAAGAGAATGTACTAGGGTTTTTTTTAACAAGGCAGGGATGCTATGGACAGAAAGCCTATACAATTTTAAAAATCTCTGAGTGCAAAGGAAGCCCCAAGAATAATGAATGTCAAAGAGACTTTATGCAAATTCTGCTCCATGACAAACTGCCGTTAATGGTTTATTAATGAGGGTGGACTTTTGCTGGATAAATGAAGGTGCTGGCAGAGCAATTCAAATAACTATTAGGAACCTGAGAGCAGTTTAAGTACACAATACCATGGAAAAATAAACATTTAAAGGAACATTTGTCTGAGAAGATGGGTGCATTACTATTAAGCTTTTTGCCCTACTCAAAACACACACACACACACACACACACACACACACACCCTTATGGTCCATCTACCCCTAAATACCATAAGGTCACTGGCTTACCGGAGGTGGCATGGTGCTCTCTCAACTCTGCATGGTGCTAGCAGGGGAAAAAGGGTGGAGACAGAAAAAGAAAAGTACAAGAGGGAGGGAAAAAAAGTGGGGGAACACAGAGGGTGAGAGGGATTTGAAAAAAGTGTGTCAGAGATTTTGGATAAAGATTAAAGGAGGGGAAGGGAAGAGGGGTGTCCATCATGTGTTGTTGACCAGATGTTGGCAGTGGTTGGTTTGCGTGCAGCAGGATGGGCGATAGTGGGCCGCGTCAGCAACAGCAGCAGCAGCAGCAGCAGGAGAAGCCGCAGCCACACAGGACGACAACGAACAAAATAAAAAAAAGAGGAGACAAGAGACAGAAAAAAAAGAAAAAAAAAACAGACATTAGTTTAACCAAAATGTTAACGGAGGACACAACTTGACACATAACTGGGGGCAATGGCGGGGATAAGATGGGGGATTGGGTAATGCAGAAGGTTGAATGAACTGACATTACCACACTACACACATATGCTCACACACACACATGCTCACACACACACACACACACACACACACACACACACACACACACACACACACACACACACACACACACACACACACTTGAACTAGTATACAAGACCAAATGCTTATATTTTGACTGACACGAAAATTCCTGTTGCATCCATCCATAACAACTGAAGCAACACTGAAATATCTTTACTGTCATCCTTTTACTGTCTCTCATTATGAGATGGAAACTGTATCACCAGATTAAAATATAGGCCTCTTTAGTGTTAAATTAAAAAGGGTTGTATAATGAAATGTTAATATGCTAATATTTACGGTGGCAGGTTTAATATTTACCATTATTAACATTTTAGTTTCGCGTTTTAGCATGGCAACTTGCTAACTAAACACAAAATGTCATACCGTTGAGGCTGACGGGAATTAAATGTCATTAGTTACGTGGCTATGAAATAAAGCGATCACAAGTCTTCTATCTTTTGACCACCTTCAAAATGTGGTTGTCTTTTCAACATAGCACGTAGCATATCTAAGTACAGGAAAAGAGGAAGCTGACCGAGGTTCAGACCGAGGCTTGCTCAACTATTTTTGGAGCACAGAGCAAAAAGGGGCTTAGGAAGGGTTAATTCATCCTGAGGCGGGCATGAATGTGTGCACAACATTTAATTACAATCCATTCAACAGGTGCTCAGACATTTAATTAAAAAACACAAATGTCAACTTCATGGTGACACTATGCAAGTCAAGGCATCACCAGAGTTGTAGGATAAATCATCTGGGAACCACTAATGTCCTTACAAATTGTTATGCCAATTCATCATGACAGAGACACAGCATTTTACAGTCCAACCCAGCAGCAACAGGAGCGCTCATTGGCCAGATGTTGACCTCCGGCCCCACACACAATTCCCTCCACCTGCTCCTGTGCACAGCAGAGGGCAGAAGCACTTAACAGCTGGCCAAAGAAGAATCCAATCAGGCAACACATCTGCAAGCAATACACAAGCAGCAGCTAAGCAGTAACCACACTGGTTAGGTTCAGTCACATGCACAATCATCTCTCAGACACACAAAATGTCAACAGTAAGGCAGAATTTACGTACTCTCTCCATCCTCAGGAAGACATTTGACTCTCATAAAAGGTTTACATGGAACTGCTCATTTAACAAGATCCTGACTGACACATGGCCGTGCAATCCGTACGGCTGCCGCGGATTGCACGGCCAACGGACGTCACAGCCATACCTAGAACAACGTCGGATTGCCCTAATCTCCAGTCAGACGAAAACACAACCACAGGCGGCTCAGAAAGTAGAAAGACAAAGAAAACAATGCTGCCGATTGGGTATTGCTCGTTTAATCAGGAAGGGGAAATCAAATCGCTACATTCTGATTGGTTAGAAACCTCAGAGCCACCGTCTGAGAGGATAGATAACATGAAGAGCTGCTTACAATAATAAGGCGAACGGATTAGGAAACTGTCACTGAGCGTTAGAGGTCGATTAACAAGGCTTTGTGGAGAGGCATCAAGTTTTCTAATTTAATCTTGGCTCTGTTCATTTTCTCACAGTGGGAAAGCACAGTCAGACTTCAACCACTCCCTTTGGGTTGCAAAACACTGACCTACACTGACAGGGGCCTGGAGGTTTGAGGGGTTTGTGACTGGAAGAGGAAGACCAGAGGGATTCCTAGATGGTCTGATTCCAAAACAAGACGTCTTGTCTCGTTTATATTCTCCGTTTGACAAACTCATGGCAACTGTCGCCATTGTCGACTGACAGACTGACGCGTGAACCCGCCGTGGATGCTCTTCGTAAAAGCCTCACCTGATGATTAGAGTTGATTAATGCAGATGAGTGCGTGGGGGTCGGGAGGAGGCTGACAGAGAGACAAAGTGAAGGGCTATGAATAATCTCAAAGTGTCACTGATAAAAAATATAAATTGTGACAGGCAGTCTGAGAAGAGTTTTATTGGTACAGGGTAATGAGTGGCACAGTTGGATCACTACATGTGGCAGGCCTATATTAGCATTTGAAAAGCTTTCTTGACAATAAATTGACAATCAAGCTGTAGAGGCTGGTGGGTGACTCGACTGTGGGAGTGGAGGGGTAGACCAATCAAAGGGGTCCTTTCTGGTTTGACTCATTCAGCACTTGCAGACATGTCCAGGAAACCGTATACTTTATGCTTTATAAAACCTACAGTGCACCTAGATAAGTACAGTTTCTTTTCAACCAGGAGGCATTGTACAATGTAAATGTACTCACAATGGCAGGGCATGTTCTTTGATATAAATCCACTCCCATCCACCCCAACTGGTCATTTCACAAAGACAGTAACTAACTGAGTGAATGTAAAGGTGGTTACAGGTGTGATCTCTTGATATCTGCAGACTCTATATTAAAGGACTCAGAACAGGGTCGGGGGCCAAAAATAAACTTGATCGGGTCATCCCTAGCAAATACAAACGTTTTATTACAGTGCTTCCTCTATGTTGATCTTGGAGCGGCGGCCCACCGCTGTTAAATTTCTGCCGCCACGGTATCAGAAATGGGGCAGACACACATTGTAGTCACGGTTGCCTTTTAAATGATCGTGCCGACATAATGCACCCCCATTGGCTGCCGCTCACATTGCAATTTAACAACAAGTAGAAATATTCAGAGGTTATTGGGGCTGTCCAGTTTAACGCCACATACTGTTGTGTTGATGTAGCTTATTGTCAAAACGTTTGCTTTCTTCCAAGTCGACTATTAAACTAACAGCTCCAACAAAAGCCCGGTGGGTCCATTTTAATTGGACAACGTTCAACTTGTCAGTTCTCAGCTTAACGCCCTGATATCAAACATCTGGAAACATTAAAACGTTAAATATATTTGTTTGTGTCGCAGCGAAGTGTCACTTCTGTTTCATACGTAAAACGTTTACCGGCGTGACGGTAAACGTTTCTGCTAAGAAAAATTCTAGAGGAAACACTGTATTAAGTTGAATTTTTAGTTCAGACCAATTTAGTCTCGTGACCTGAGTTGATGATTCAGTGTTCTCTAAACTTACTGTACTTTAAGCATACATCATGGAAACTTGCCATGTGTCTTTTAAACAAGCTATGTCCTGATTGTTTACTCCGACAGTAAACGAAACCAATGCTAACCATGATGAAGAGTCCAATTCAGTCCCGACTCCAATGCAATTTTACAAATGTACTGTATTGTCTCGGCACTAACTCTGGTACAGCAGGAGCAGTCAAAGCTGTGAGCTGAATGAAGAACTGACTGCAACTGGAAAACAAATCCTCCTTGGTGTGACTAAACAATTATTTTTCATTGAAGCAGATGTATTAAAGCTACATTTTATTCACTCACTACATTAAAATGTTAAGACAATATCACCATTAACCTCAATATTCATAGTCATTTAAAGGGCTCTTTGTGAGCTGTGACTGCTAAAGTAATACACACACACACACACACACACACACACACACACACACACACACACACACACACACACACACACACACACACACACACACACACACACACACACACACACACACACACACACACACACACACACACACACACACACACAGTATGTCGGATTACAGACACTGGGAAAGATGACAGCTGAGAATCGTGCTGTTGGTTTTAACAAAATCAATCCACATCTACCTTTATGGGCTGACTAATACAACCACATTGTTTTTTTAGACCTACAGTTTTAGGGCCTGTGGGTAGCATGAGTCAGTTTTCATAAACCAAAAAGCAGATCTTTGATAAACTGGAAGAGTTGAGCAATCAATGGCAACAGGATGTTAGCGAACATGATCACAGATATGAATGTATGATGGTCAGGTTGACAAATACAGAAAAAAAGGCTGGACATGGCAGGTATTGCTGCAATACAGGATGGCGAGCAACCCTAGGACGCTGTGTTTGATTAGGGCAAAGTCAGAGGACATGAGTCAAAGCAAAGGGACTCACAATGACTGCTCACACATTAAGGTCCCAAAGTAGTCTGTTCTACCATGAAGGACAAAACATACCAGACATATGATTTAAGGCCCATAGTTCGACCTTCACTGCAGATGTATTCACATAGGCTTGCAATTATTGCATCGCCTCTCTACCTCAGAACAGAGTATTTGGTTTGAGCAACTCAGAGGTGAGAATGAGTGAAAGTGTATATCATTGCAATGCATGTCAGACAACCTTCCCTGGATTAACAAGGTAAAGTAAAAACAGACCACTGCCATCATCTCAAGGTGTAGTGTGGTTCCACAGTTCTCCTTCAGGGGGAAGAACAGAAAAAGCTATATTTTAAGACAAGGTGACATTTCTGACTGTCTGAGTTTTGGGGGATTTTTGTCTGCCTTTTATCTGGCTTTCAGACCGAAGCCAACAGCCTGCTGTGTGGATGAGAAGACAAGGACAATGGAGGAGCTCTGAACTAAAACTGTAATATTTCAAGTTCTGTCTGAGCCGGAGAAATGAAGCAAAGGCAGAGAGGTGAATAATGGTCCAAAACCATTTTGT